ACTCTATCGCCGCGTATATTCTAGCTCGCAACAAATTTATATATTAATAAATTGACAAAACGGAAAAATATGAAATATAAAAATATTATTTTGATAAGAATATAAAAATATTAATTTAATAAATAATCAAATTTTAAATATTGTAAATATAAATCTAACATTCATTTTATTTTTTTGAACAATCAAATTTATATATTTATCCAACCTATTTTAAACTATTTATGTCATAATTATTCGACAAATTTTATACTAGTAGTCGACTATCAAAAACAATTCTTCATTTTTCTCATATAAGGTTGGGGTGTCAATATTTGATCGGATCTAAAACTCGATTCGAAACTGATCAGACAAATTCTAGGTTCTGATCAACCCATTTTGTAAATGGTTCGAGTTTTATTTTTTTTAACACGTTTTTAATTTTGGGTTGGGTTCAGATCAAAAAACTAACACGACTCACCCCCCTAGCGATCTTGCACTTGCGCCCACAACCATACAACACGCACTCGCGTATGCATTGCGTGTTAGCAGGTCAGGTCAAATCAACCTGGGTTATGATAGGATGAGTTTGGGTTTGGATTTATGACCCGATTGCCTAATCGGGTCAAGTTCAGGTCGATGAGATTGACGTCGAGCCTGTTTCGAGTTGGACTCAAACCCAACCCTAAAAGCCATTTTGACACCCCTAATCTAGGGCTTGGGATATGATAATGTCATTATTGTTATTATATATTAAACTATTGTGAATTTAATTAGAAAAAAAAACTAAATTAAATATTTGTTATGAAATTTAATCTTTAATTAAGAATCTAAAAATAAAAAATTAGTTACAATATTGAAGAGTCAAAGCTGCATGGGATGCTCTTCACAAGCGGTCGGCATCACGTGAAAGCAGAACAACTCTTTTTACCATCAAAGGAGAGAGCAGCTCCGCATTTCCCTATCGGATTCGGCGGAAGAAATATTCCATGAATTACAACTATGAAGCAGCAGCTTTGCATTTATATCAATAAATGCTTCAGTCTGTACCACACTGAGGAGTAGTAAATGTGAGCTTTACTCCTCCCACCAAAACCCCTACGTCGAGAAACTAAATATAAAATAAACAAATCAATGGAACAAAAATTTATTTCTCAGATTCTTTGGCCATTAAGGCTGCCATTTAGTAGTTGTAGTGCATTTAATGAGGAAGCCTTTGCTGGAACAATAATTGATTTTATTTTATTTTAAATAAGTTTTAATATATTTTTTTAAAATATTTGGGATTATTATATATAAGCTTTAATTTGAGTTTAGGTTTGATTAATTAAATGAGTGAGCTCGAGCTATTTTTTTCATTATTTTTTTATTTGTAGTTATTGCAACGATTTTATATTTATTTTATTTTATTTTATTATAAGATAGTTCCATCTTGAAGAAGTCTTAAAATTGATTCAATTGTGGCTAGACCTAAATTTATCCATGGGTGGCATATTGATCTCATATGCAAGCATAATCAAACATAGCAAGAGAAGATGAGAATGAGTAGGTGAGTAAGGAGAAAAATTTTGAAATCAATAACTCTATGTGGATGGTAAAAATAACATAATTCCATCATAATAATAACATGCTAAAAATGTCTTTCGATCTCTTATATGTAGAGTTTGGAAGACTACAAGCGAGGCTAAACTTAAGAAACAATGCAATAAATATATGGTTTTACTACTACATGCTATTAAAGATACTGAAATAGTCCATGATGTGCACACATGGACTCCAATAACTGGCATTGTTCTAGGTGCCTCAGACGAGTAATCGTGGCGAGTGCTCTTGATTAAAATAATAAAATATCTCAATCAATTTCATTAATTTTGCCACCCCAACCATTTCCCCGTTTCGGCTGCTTGTTGGAGGAGGAAGATGAGTTAAAGAGAGAGAAAGCTTCTCGAGCCATTTTCATCCATCAGTTATGTTATGAAATTTTTTCTGATCATAGTAAGTAAGCTGAATCATACCTTTGTTTTTAGTGATTTTGTGTTTTGGGAATTTAATCTCTTCCAAATCGATAAAAATATATATTTTTAAATCGATTTTCTAATTTATTTAACTTTAACCATATAATTTTGTGTATATGACAGATATAATTTTTATGAATATTTTGACTATAATATTATAAAATTTTATTAGATAAATTAATATTTATGATTTTATAAAATTAATGAAAATGTATACATTTTTCATACATTTCAAAGATTATTGTATTTCATACATGTTATTAAATTAAATATAATTGATAGATCAGTGTGATATTTACATGTAAGCAAGAAAGACTATTTATGAATAATACATTTAGTGCGTGTTGACTATTAAAACGTAATACTATGTATAGGAGGATGAGCCAACGAGCTTTTTTTTTAAATAAAAGATTTATGGTATAATTTTGGATGTTAGCCTATAATTAATTAATTGATTACGTTGACAGATAAAGAGTGATGACTCTTTATTTATTTATTGAAATTAATTTATAAAAGAAATAATTAATAGAAATAATTGAAAGATATGATTGATAGATAATAGTGAATTGATATGACATATGGATGATAGATGAAATGATTAAAAACCCCACTCAAAAGTTGAATATCATGCATTGTAATTCATAATTATATCCATGTTTAAATTTATATGGTATTATATCAATTGCGTAAATTAATCGATAGATAGAACTGATATAGAGTTGATAGAACAATCATTGAGACTAATATAACATGACATGGCATATCATGGGAACATTTATAGATATTGATAGACATATTGATATAATATATTGATATACATGTTGATATAGTATGTTAATATGGCATGTTAATAGACAAATACATGACACAACATTTGACAAAAGGCATATAATGAAACCATCAACATAAAAATAACTAATACTTTTGTATTTGACATGGTATTGATTTTATTGATATTTGCTTTCCAATATGTGATATTGATTTATGAATTTTAGTGTAATAATTTTTTAGCTTTTTTGTTTTACTGATCATATTGATTCATATTACTAGTGAATGGTCATTGTTCAAGTTAATAACTACTGTTGCTGACTTTAGAATAATTGATATGAACATGCATATTGAATTATTGAGACCTTAGATTGAAAGCATTGGTAATTTTGGGGTTTTGTTGCCTTTGTAAGCTCATTGTATGGATTTTGTTAATTTCAGGTAAGAGAAGGGGTCATGACTCTGTGGAGTGAGATGAACACAATCTTCAGGTTTTATTTTATTTTATTTTTGGTATTTATTTTAATTTTTTGTAGTCAAGAGTTTTAAAAGAACTAGATTGATGATTGAAGTGATCTCATAGCTTTTGCAAATAAAATTTTAGAGAATGAAAATATAAATAATTTTGTGTATATACTTTAAAGTTACTTTTGTTAAATTTATTTATATGGATGGATATTTAGAGACTCTGATAAATTCATGAAGAGATAAAATAGATAATTCTTTCAAATGTAAATCTTGGGCATTATAGATACCCTAGGAGGGTTACTTTATAGAGTTTATTTGAGCTAGAAACTTTAGTATGACTGATGATGTTGTTATAATGAGATCAATGAATGTACATCACATGTAGTTTGGATGAAGGGCCCTTTGAGAGAGGCGAGTAACCTCAGCTAGGGCATGTTTTTTTAGGATGAGTTCTCATGAGGTAAGTACCTTTTTAGATCTAGGTATATTGAGGCAAGTTCCTCCATGAATCAATTTTTTTTTAAAGGTGTGTTCTTTCTTAATTGTGCATCTTTTGAGTGAGTGTCAGCCCTTTTCAAGTTTTGCTAAAGTGAGCCCCCCTTTATATAGAGCATGCCTTGGAACTCATTTGAGGCAAGCTCAACTAGCCTTGTGAGTTTCCTATACCCACATATAAGGGTGCAAAATTATAATAATTTAATGGTATAAGATCAGCCAGGGTTTATTCCTTGTTTGGCACAAAACTATTATGTGAATTTCCTCTTATTTTTTAAATTATCAATTCATTAAAGGTATCAATAATTTTTAAAAATTTGAGTCTACTAGGAGAGCATGTACATTTCAAGATTTAAGCATTAACATTGACATTTGCAATGTAACTTTTTAGGAAATAAAGTTTTTAACTATTGATAAGTTTATCACAATGTCTTACTTCTTGATAAATATGAATTATCACTCCTTAATACAAAAGAGCTTGAGTGGCACAATGAGATTAGACCTGTATAATAAGTCATTGGAGTGATTTATTAGGTATGAAATAAATTTTTATGCATAAATCATATGATGACGTAATTATTAAACTTTTTATATTAATCTACACCTAAATATCTCAAGAGCATTGTTTGTGCTAGGTTGAGCTGGTTCAAATCTTTAACAAATTATAATAGCTCATAAGGAAGTTAAGAGGCATTTGAACACTTGTTTAGGACATTGGGTTATTAGGTGACTGAAGAACAAGAAGGAGCAGAGAGACAATAGGAACAAAACCAAGAACAGAGAGGAATGTTAAGTCTATTATTGCTTAAGTCTTACGGTACAAACATGTGTCCTTATATAGGAAACTTATACAATGCATAAAGCCTGAACTAATCACAAGAGGCCACCTGTCATATTGGTTTTGCAGAAATATATATTTACATTTATTTATATACTAATATCCCCCCTCAAATTGATGGGTCTCTGGGTAACTGTCAATTTGTCGTGTAGAAGCTTGAAACGAGGTGTAGGAAGGTGTTTGGTGAAGATATCAGCTATTTGATCAATCGTACTGATAGGAAGAAGACGAACTTTGTGTTGATGAATGTGATCACGGACGAATTTTTGATCTATCTCGATATGTTTGGTCCGTGCATGAAAGACATGGTTGTTGGCAAGAGCTATGGCGGACGTATTGTCGCAATACATGTTTGTTGGTCGGTCCTGCACTATGCCGAATTCGGCTAGTAATCTGCGTAGCCATATGATGTCGGAGGTGAGAGCGGCAAGGGAACAATACTAAGATTTAGTGGATGATCTGGCAAATGTGTGTTGCTTTTTAATGGTCCATGAAATAAGCGTGCTTCCGAGGAACGAGCAGTATCCTAAGGTGGATTTTCTTGAGTTCGGATCACCGGCCCAATTGGCGTCTGAAAAAGAATTGAGAGCAAGATCAGATTTGTTTATAGGAATGTCATAGTCTATGGTACCTTTAATGTAGCGGAGTAGTCGTTTTAAGAGGTAGACGTGTTGAGGTAACAGGTTGTGCATATGTTGTGAAAGTTGATTAATGCTGAAGGCAATGTCGGGTCTGGTTAGTGTCAGATATTGCAAAGATCCAGTTATTCTTCTGTAGTTTGTTGGATCGGAAAGGATGGGGTCATGCGAAAATTCTGTAGGAAATTTGGTAGTGGTTGGATTCGAAACAGCATTGCATCCGATCATGGCAGCTTGCTATAGGATCTTATGTGCATAGAGCGCATGTGATAGAAAATATTGCTACTCGGAATGATCGATTTTAATTCCCAGGAAGTTGTGAATGTCTCCGAGCTTCTTTAGATCAAACCGAGTGCTGAGTTGCTGAATTATGGAGGATATAACCTGCACGTTATTACCAGTTACGAGTATATCGTCTACATAAATCAGAAGAAAAATTTTAATATGATTGGATTGGTAAAGTAACAGAGATGGATCGACATTACTGTGAGAGAATCCGAAGAAAATTGAGATAGTTACTGAAAGTGTTATACCATTGTCGGGGGGCCTATTTTAAACCATATAGAGCTTTATGAAGACAACATACGAATTCCGGGTGAGATGCGTCCTCAAATAGTCAAATCCTTTGGGCTGCGACATGAAGACTATATCCGTAAGGTCACCATGGAGGAGCGTGTTGGCGACGTCGAGTTGTTAAACATGCCAGTTGTGATGAATGGCAAGAGAAAGAAGGATACGAATGGTAGGGAGCTTGACTACGGGACTGAACGTCTCGATGTAGTCAAGCCCGTACTCCTGATGATTGCCAAGAACAACCAAACAGGCCTTGTATTTAGCAATCGAGCCGTCGGCGTGATGTTTTATCCAGTAGGTTCATTTGCATCCAAGTATAGATGCCGTGGGTGGTGCAGGAACCAAACTTCAGGTTCCTTGGCACTGTAAGGAAAAGAACTCATCAGCCATGGCCTTGCGCCATTCGGGTATTTTAATGGCTTTAGTGTAGCTGGTGGGAGCACTTTGAGTAGTATGAATGTGCGAGAGATTTAGACGTTGTAGAGGTTTCAGCGAGCCGGTATTAGTCCTCGTGAGCATGTGATGGCTGTTGTGAGCAGGATTAGGAATGGTTTGAGTGCTGGCAGCTGTTGGAGGCGGTTCTGTGGAAACTGATTGGTGATTGATAGGTTGAGAAGGAAGAAAGAGATTGGAGGAGATTGGAGCGTCTAAGTGTGTGTGAGAAATGGAATTGGAAAGAGAGGTTGGAGTTAGAAGAAACTCAGAAAGAGATGGATCAACATTGATGAGAGAATTGGATTGACTATTGGAAAAAGGGAAAGATGTTTCTTGAAATGCAGTATGCCGAGAGATGATTATTTGGTTTGTGGCCCGATCAAGACACTTATAACCCTTGTAAGTATCAGAATAGCCTAGGAAAACATTGATTTGGACTTGGGTTGAAGTTTATGGCGATGTTGAGAAGGGATGAGAGGAAATACTTCACATCCGAAGACCCAAAGATGACTATAATCGGGAGAGGTTTTGTGCAGAATTTCGAACGGTGTAAGGTTGTTAATAGTCTGTGAGGGAATTCTATTGATTAGGTAGACCGAGGTAAGAACTGAATCATGCCAGTAGGTATAAGGAACGGATGCCGTGGAGAGTAGTGTTCGAGTTGTTTCAATAATGTGCTGGTGCTTGCGTTCAACGACCCCATTTTGTTCGGGAGTATAGGGGCACGATAGCTGATGGGTAATGCCGTGAGCCTGAAGAAAGTTACGAAGAGTATTGTTGACGAATTCAGTACTGCCATCAGAGTGCAGAGTTTTGATTTTATTGGACATGTAGTTTTCAATTTTATTTTTGAACGAGATAAATATATTAGGTACTTCTGATTTGCAATGCATAGGGAAGACCCAGGTGAACCGAGAGGCATGGTCGACAAACAGAATGTAGTAGCGGTATTCCTGTATGGATGAGACGGGAGCTGGTCCCCACACATCTGTATGAATAAATTTAAGAATAGATTTGCAGTGATTAAGAGAATTTGGAAAAACTACTTTATGTGCCTTTGATTCATTACAAACATAACATGGAGATAACTGTTTATCAATATGTAAATGAGGATTAGCTAAAGCAATAGAATGCATAGTATGGTCATTCAGATGACCAAGCTTTTTATGCCAGGGCAGTGGCTTATTCTTTGTGGCCGAGAGCGCCTGAATAGATGAGGACGCCGGGTTCCTGGGTAGAGGGTAGAGCCCATTGCTACAGGGTCCGAGAAGCAGAACTTTTTGTGTCTTCAGATCCTTAAACACAAAACCAAACTGATCAAATGTAATGGAAATATGATTGTCTTTAGTAAGCTGAGAGATAGATAGGAGATTGAATTGAAAAGAGGGTGAGTGAAGAATATGAGAAAGAATAAACTTACGAGATGGGGTCGGTAACAGTCCTTCACCAGAATGACTTATGATCATCAAGCTGCGATGTAGAGTGTCTGACCATCGAGACAGAGGATTAACTTCCCCGCTCTGATACCATGAAGAACAAGAAGGAGCAAAGAGACAATAGGAACGAAACCAAGAACAGAGAGGAATGTTAAGTTTATTATTTCTTAAGTCTTACGATACAAACAGGTGTCCTTATATAGGCAACTTATACAATGCGTAAAGCCTGAACTAATCACAAGAGGCCACCTGTCATATTGGTTTTACAAAAATATATATTTACATTTATTTATATACTAATAGTGACATCCTCTACATAAGTAGAAAGACGTGGAATTCATCCAACAAGTCAACCAATTAGTCAACGAAGACATCTAGTTAGTTGATGACTTCATCTAGTTAAATTGATGACTTCACTCATGAAGTTGATGACTCATTACCTAACAAGATGACAAACTTCTAGCAATGAGTTGTTGACTTTAGCTATAACAACCCAGAGTTCTTAAATAGATTTATTTGAAAAATATTAAAAACTTGAACTGTGGTGCTATGATGCTATGATTTTGAGCACAATAAGTTTAGAGGGTGCAACATTTGGGTGCCAGAATTCGATGCGACGACACTGATGCTATTTGTTCTATAGTAACTATTGAATCAACATGCAAGAATGTGATGTCGGGTTGGAGCATGCATCACGGTAGTAGGCACTGAAAAAATATTTTTTAATATAATTTTTCTCTTTACTAAGCCATTTTTTCCCTCTCTCATTTGGTTTGCCGGGTAAGGAAGGAAAGGGGAGAGAGAAAAGAGGAAATGAGTTTTAGATCGCCGATTCATTTCATTGCTTCTACCAAAATTATTTTGATAATTATATGTGACTTTTAATCTTATATATGTTTCCAAATATTTTGAATTTGGGATTTATTCTTCTATCTAAATAGATATTTATTACAATTTCTCCCTATTTAGTGAATTCCACCTCACAACTTTTGGTATATTATATTATTGATTATTCTGATTATGTTGACTAGATGATTTTATATTTTCGCCAGCTAAAATATTATTATTACATTTTATACAATTTGATTATGTCTAAGATATAATGTGATTTTTTGTACACTGATACAAACATACTGATGAAACAAGCATTATGAAGTGAATGAGTAATAACTGGTTGTTATTACTTTTCTAATATTATGTTTGTGAAAATAAGAAAGTTTGTTATATTATTAAGCATGGTTGGAGACTGTTTAATACTTGCATAGGATGGTGGACTGAGGAACTTTCTTTTAAATATTATGGTTTATCATGATATCTTCTAGTGAGTCATATGATTTATCAATTAGGAGTTATAAGGAGAAATTACTGTGCCAACGGATAAATCCGACTCTCTGATTATTGAAAGACACTTGAAGGAACTAAAAATACTTATCAGAAAAACACAACAAAAACCGTAATTCCTAACCTCTAATGATATACCTTTCTTAAATTTAAATCAAACATTTTAAAAATATTTATCATTAGATTAGCAATATTAATGACATTTTAAGTCCTTAAACTACCCATCAAGCAATTCAACTAAGAATTTTGATTATTGAAAGACACTTGAAGGAACTAAAAATACTTATCAGAAAAACACAACAAAAACCGTAATTCCTAACCTCTAATGATATACCTTTCTTAAATTTAAATCAAACATTTTAAAAATATTTATCATTAGATTAGCAATATTAATGACATTTTAAGTCCTTAAACTACCCATCAAGCAATTCAACTAAGAATTTTAAAATACCATCCTTAAGTAGGACGATAAGAAAGCTCTTTCCTTAACTTCGCAGCGATACAGCCAATGTAGACATTTATGATTGGGTTGCAACGCAGAGAAACTCCATTTGATTCTGCAAATATATATAATTAGAGATCTAATCGTGGGTTGTACTCAACATAGGCATTTATAACTAAATTTCATTTG